CTCGTGTCGAAAATATAACAATATGGGTGTCCTTTCCTACCAAAATTAGTGTCTCGGACGCGTTGGCGCGGTCCATTTTGTCTTCGAATGAGGTCCATTTTGTCTTCGAAGGTCATTAGGAGAAGTTCGCATTTTCATCCGTCCTCTGAGCTTAATTAAAGTCGGATTTCGTGCAATTTTGTGAATTTTGTGCATTTAGTGTGTGTATGTAACGAAAAGGTCGTGACGATGTTTTCCTAAGGCTTGGAGTCCTATTAGGAACTTTTCCTTTGAGTTTTCACAAAATAGCCCATAACCGCTCGTTCATAAGACGATGGTCTTATGCCAAAAATACTAGACATCAAAGGAAAATAAGAAGTGTCTAGAATTTCTAAAAGGGTGGATAAGGGTGGGTCCTGTCCTAATTCTAGTTTTCTAAGATGGTAAATAGGAACTCCTAGAGCTAGATCCTAAGACCCTAAGGAAAAAGAAATGACCTAAAAAATGAGGTCAACACTAGTATGGGTTGTAAGAATTTTTAGTTATGTCTTTCGGGTTAACCAATGCCTCTGCTATATTTTGTACAATGACGAATAAACTATTCCAACCATATTTGGATCAATTTGTAGTTGTTTACCTGAATGACATGGTGGTGTACAGCAACACACTCCAAGAACACTTAAGGCACCTCCGATAAGTGTTCAAAGTACTAGGAGAAAATAAGCTATACATCAAAAAAGAAAAATGTTCATTTATTAAACAAGAAGTAATATTCTTAGGGCATAAGATGAATGATGGAAAGATTATGATGGAAGAAATCAAGATCAAGGCCATCCAAGAGTGGGAGCATCCCCACTAAATTACATGAGCTAAGACCTTTCCTGAGCTTGTAAACTACTACTGACGATTCATAAAAAACAATTCCGCAAGAGCTGCTCCGCTATCTGACCTGCTCAAGAAGAACATGTCATGGGAATGGACTAACAAATGTCAAGAAGCATTTGAGGATCTCAAAAAGGCAATCAACTAAGAGTTAGTACTTAGCCTTCTTAATCATACTAAGGTGTATGAAGTGCACACCGATGCATCTGACTTTACTAAGGGGGAGCACTCATGCAAGATGGACATCCAATTGCATACAAGTCAGAAACTCATAATGAAGAAGTGTCGCTACACAGTCCAAAAAAAGGAGATGACGGTTATCATATGCCTTAGAATATAGAGACACTACTTACTTGGCTCTAAAATTAAAGTCATGACAGATAATATTGTCGCCAACAACTTCCAGGCCCAGAAGAAGTTAAGTCCAGAGCAGACAAGATGGCAAGATTTCCAGACAGAATTTGATTATATCTTAAGAGTATTGACCAGAGAAAAATATGTTGAGTTTTTCATACATATTTTATATTATTTTTTATGATATTGCACTTTAAGGAAAAATATTTTTGATGTTTTATTGCAGGAATGATGAATTGGAGTCAATTGAGCAAAAAGATGCAAAAAAAAGTGGATTTGGAGCAAAAAAGACCAAAATGTGGAGATTTGAACTAGGGCGTCGACGGTGCCATCGACGCCGCCGACGGCGAGTTTTTCCCGCGGCTACAC